TAGGTATAAATGAATTTATCGTAGCCGTTAGTGATTCGAGCATTGAGTTATATAGAAAACTAATATTGTTATATTAATTCACGTCGTTAAATTTGGAATTATTGTACACCAGACAGTCAGATTAATCCTTTTTAAAAAAGGTAACTATTTTGAAATTAAGTCGCAAATGATTTACTTAATTTGAATAAGTTTATGTGAAGATGTTTCAATGATGTTTTTTTTCGAAATAAAAGGAATTACATACCCAGTAACTAATTAGCGTACACAGTCGTTAAATGAATAACGCATTGTTCATTTAAAGCTGAAAGAACTGGATTCGTATCCAGGAGTAGTCAACAAAACTGGAATTTGGTTACATACAACAAATAACTACTAAATGGGATAAAACATGAGTCTTATATCCTACTGCTAGCTATCATTCTACTCTTCTTAAAAAGGGAATGTGAAAGACCTATGATTCAAATTATTACTTTCCATTATTGTCCTCGTAATAGCTTAAGTTAAACACATTCAACATAACAGCAAGTGGGTTTCAATGTTATTTTATAACACTCTTTGTTGAGAAAATGACTCATAAACTACCTCAAATTATTGTACCGTGCTAATTTGGTACAATCTTCATAAATTTGATTATAACTGTTTTAATTGTTAACACTGTACTTTTTTTAAATTTAAAATATTAGGGTTCTTGAAAATGATGTTAATCTTTTTATATTGTACTATCATCAGTTAATATAATAATCAGTGAGTTAGTCTCATTCCTAAATTATCTAAATTTATCGGTTACGGTTTTCTACTGGAACATTATGATAACCATCTTGACAAATTTTTAAAAAATGACGAAACCTTATACATCATGACATGAATACTAATAGCTATCTGGTGAGACTTCTATTGGAAACTATTTTCTAACTGTGGAATTGTTGCAATAAATTTTCTCATCTTAATTCTCACTTAACTAGTTTAATACATCTTAACAGAATATGTTGATAGGATTTTGTGAAATGTATCATATTATGACATAAAATACTCCAAAACTCATAGGATATATCTTGCTATTTATCAAAATTTTGGATACACGATTAGTTCCAGCCGACTGTCCACAAGAACCTAACTTATTACTATAGTGCATATAATGTCAAGTCGCTTAGATTAGTAGCCATAACGCAACTTGAGCAACAAAATTCAATTAGTCTTTCAAGGTTAAACAAACAACAGTGGGAAATGCTCAGTGATTAATCGGTTGTAAGCATCTCAATCCTACAGAACAGGTTAATCGACGACCCAATAGCTCAGTGGTAACGTTTCAGACTGTGAGACATGTTCGAATTCTTCAGGTAGCATTGGTTTCCTTTAATATTGCAGGCATACTTTGCTGATGAGGGCTTAGATCTAGATTTTCTTGTAGACTATCTTCAACCATGTCGCTTTGAAATACATTTGCCACTATTTTCTTAGATGAAAAAGTGTGAAAGGGGATAAAACTCGTTGAGAATGTTTGAATGTACAGTGTTGAATTACTGTATAGAAATTTTAACTTATCTTTCCCACTAGTCAAGTGTTAAATGAACACACAAAATAGTTATGTTGTAATATTGAATTCTTTCATTTAAAAAAAAGAAGATAAACCAGAGTTATCTAGTTGGAATTAAGGAATGGGATGAACATTTTTGATTGAATAATACAATGTAACTACGGAACTATGTTATTTATTCTAGTTCGAATTATTTTGTATTTTATTGAGTTTAACGTATTCTTTATTTATCCATTTATTAGTTCAGGTAAACATCGGTTAGTAATTTCCAGTTTTTGCATGATCTGATTTTGTAAACATAGAATTTCAAAGACTGTTATTATTATTATTATTATTATTATTATTATTATTATTATTATTAAACGTAGATCAATTGATAAATGGTTGATCAAGATCATATAATTTTTATTCGCATAGTTTTTTGTGAGTGAGCAAGATTTAATAAGTAATAATAGTTCGAAAGGCATTCACCTCTGATATATGTATGTACATATAAATCTATATATATGATGCTATCGAATTGAATAGTTTTAACTGGATAAAGACTAATTCTTTAACAAAATGTTGTCATGGAAAAGAGTAGTACTCCATATGTTAAGGAAAGTGTTCCAGTATTCAACTCACCAGGATTAGTTAAGCACAAGTGCAGAGAACGAACACACAATTACACTTTTTTTTCGTAAAATGTGAAAAACCATACATATCTTCGATCAGTTGTTTCGTACTGCATTGCCTTTGCAATTACTCTCTGTTTACATTCTCTTTCTCTTCAATTCGATCTTCGTAACTTTCTACTGCCAGGCGTTCCACTTCCGAATGGTCTTACATACTACTTTATCGACAGATATCAGTAGAATACACCACACAAGACATTATCATTTTTTCATTTCTTTTAACTTATTCCTGTTTGACTAATCCGCTTCTACTAAAATCAGTCTTATTTAGCAAACGGATAATCTACATGTATACAAAACAGTTTCTTTGTGTTTGGATTGTTTTAAATTAATGTGTTTTCAACAAGTAGAAAATAATGGCTTTTTAAATAAAATTACGAGTAAACACAGTAGAGCTGAATTTTCTTATGTGAATTAAACATTTAAAAAACATCAAAGAACTTAAATTTGGATACAGTAATTATGGTGCATAATGGTTACTTTTATATCAGAGCGGATTTGATAAATACCAAACTTCCAGCATTAATCTTTTGGGAGCTCTAGTTCATATTTTTAATGTATAATTGTAGTGAACGACCAATTTATTACTAAACGGAATACTACACAGTAGCTTTGAAACATATGAAAATCACACATTAAATATTTCATTTCTATATCTTTCTTGAGTTGTCTTTTAGGCACTCGGTCATTCTTTGAATCCTGTTGCTATTCTGATAGCTCTCTATTTTCCTTTCTCTTTTCATTTCAATCTTCTGCTGGTAAATATTTCATTTCCAATTCCAGCTACATACTACTTGCGTCTGTTAGCATAACTAGCATATATCACATAATTATTAAATAATTATAATAATTTTTATACATATTATCCTAATTATAAGCTTTCATTTAACGTGTTAACTATGGTCAAATAATTATTCCTGTATTGTTCCTGGCTTGTATCACGTGTAAATCACTAGTGTGCACATTATAATTTCTTATTCTCGTTGATGTGTGGTCAGGTACTTAACGTATATTAGACTGAAGTTATCCGTTACTTTTATTGCTCGAGTAGTGTGTTATATCTATGACGTTCGTGAATATTTTAGTTCATTCAGTGAAACAGTGCTGTATTTTAACGTATTTTCAATTATGATTTCATTTAAAGCTCTGACTTTCGCAATATTTTGGGTTTTCATCCTGTATATTGGACTGCTCTGCGCTGACGTATTCATGACGGACAATCAAGAATAGCTGTAGATTCCTAAAGTAAATTCTGTAATATAGATTACATCCTGATATGCAACACTAGTCTACCAAGTGGACAGTAAAACAGAGGAAGTACTGGACATAGAATATTTTTAATTCAAGTCATCATTTAAATTACATGAAACATCCCCAAACTACATCAGGATTATTGTAACTAAACCTGATTATATAACTTAGACCATTTAAAAATATTCACTAATTTTAACTATTTTCTTTGATGTTTCATAAGAATTAATTAGTACCGTAGTGAACGAGAACATCACTGAGGACAACAAAATCTATTTGAATGCAAAATTACAGAATCTCATAGTAAAATCTGAGAACCATACAGTAAATATATCATTTACAAAATATTCATTAACTGTCTCAGACTTGACTGTTCCTTCATTTTCATACCAATTACTCTCTGTTCTCGTTCTCTTATCATCCATTTCCTTAACCTTCCACTTTCGATTAATGATACATACTACTTATATTTGTCGACATCAGTTGCACACACCACAGTAAATTTAAAACTTGACAAATTCTACTTCTGAGACCTATTAATCGACTAACATTATCTATATATTATTATGGTATAACTATCCAGTAATTAGACTATGTATAACCATATTCCCCTTATTATAAGCTTCGTTTTGACCTATAGATTATTATTGTACGATTTACTGTTCATAAGTTATACTTAGTTTATTAATTACTGTCTCTCACGTTCATAGCCACTTTTTGGCTTATTTGTGTATAAATGTTATTTCCTATTTTATGGTGCTTTGCAGTCTGTTTGGTTGTTATATAAATCCAGTATGTCCGAAATAAATGATTCGCGTAGTGAAGGCTGTTATCGGCATTTCGGACTCAGCTGGACGGGCTAGGCGAGCAACGGACCAATAGGACACAAGGCTGATCAGACCAGTCGGACGTCATTGGTTTAGTACAGTATAAGAGCGAATAAGTCATATTTTAATTGTCGAAGAGATTACGTAATAACTAGCGGGCCACAAAGTCACAACAGTGGCTAGTAGTGAAATTCAGGACACGCATTTCATCCTATTTAAGACTTGTCAACTAGATGATCAATAATTACCAGTCCCAAATATCAATTAGAAGATTCAAGTAAACAATACCAAGAATAGCTTCTTAATTAGAATTAATTTTCTTAGTAACCATTATAAAAGTCACATTTCAAGTCAATATGAAATAACACTTTTGTAAATAAACAATTTATTTTTGGTCAAGAATAGGATCATTAAAAATAAAGCTTTTTTTGTTTGTTTGTTTTAATATTTAGCATACACTCATACTATCTACATGTAACACACTATTCAATTAAATATTTAACATTGAATATACATAAGAATAAGAGATTTTACACGTGATAAACATAATGGTTTGTAAGAAAAAAGAAAAGGAAAACAACAACAACAACATTGTAACATTCTACTAAAATAAAAAGAAAAAAAAGTAAAGAAGAAAAAAAGATAAAAAATAATCAATTTCTTTTAAATTGTTCCAGTTTTTTCTCTTTTTTTTAATTTTCTTTTAAATCTTTTCTATTTATCCATACGTACTGGTATAACTATACCTTCTAATAATGCTTCTTTATCTTTTATAGCTACTGGTGTTGTAAATGATATAATTAAACGATTAATTTTTGGATATTTTATTAAACAATGATCTGAACAACAAATACAATTACAACCAGTTGTATATATAGTTGATTTTAATGTAAAATTTGTATGATATGCTGTCATAGCAATTAATATACCTGTACCATATATATTACGATATGGTTTATCACTTAATCTAAAACCAATTGATGTTAACATTAATACAAACATTGGTATATTTAATAATATAAATGTCACATAATAACATCTTAAACGATAGGTCATTTTTAATTCACCATTAATTTGTTTTTTACTTAATGATGAATAATAAAATGCTATAATAACAAATATTGTTGGTAATGTAATTAATATAATTAAATCATAATAAAAATATGAACGACACATTGTTGTACAACGTGTCAATATCATACCATCTTCTTCAATGGATTCAAATGCTGTAATAGATGGTAATGTTATTAAAAATGATATCAAATAAATACAACCTGGTATAATACGTTTACAACGATAAAGAAATTGTTTTGTTGGTAATGGAATATCAATTTTATGTTTTGTTTTAATGATTGAAATTTTTCTGATTTATCATTTATTGATGGTTTATCATTATTGATTGTATTATTGATAGTATCTTTAGTAATATCAGAATTTATACCACCATTGATAGGATACATAAAATTAGATTGATTATAGGCATTTACTTGATTAATATAATTATTCATATTCATTGTCATTCTATAATCTATTCCATAATTCATATTCATTGTATATGGATTAGCTTGTTGTCCGATTGATCCATTATTGAACATATTATAATTATCAGGTGTAGTCATCATATTTTGAGGAATCATTTGACCATAAGGATTCATTAAACCACTTAAATTGGGCATTATTCCAGGTAATTGATTAGGTGAATTTAATACATTATTCTGACCAATAAATAATGGTTGTGCAGCAATTAAATTTATCCCATTAGAGTTGGCAATTTGGTTTGTTGGAGCATTAATTTCATTCGTATTAGTTAGAGTATTGATTGATGATGAAATAGGTGTAACAGCTACAGTGTCAGTAGTTCCTCGAACACTTTTATTTGACCTTGATTTTCTTCTTTTATCAGTGTAACCCCATTCTGTGGTTCTTCCCCGACCAACTGGTTGTTGTTTATTATGACGTTTGGGTGGTGCTTTTGTAGCTTTTACCGTAGCTTTTCTTGCTGCCGCCAATCTTTTCGTTTCATCACGTACTTTATTACACTGTAGTTTGCAAATAAAACATATGTACCAGATTAAATTTATTATTGGTGTACGGTAAACCCAATAGACAAGATGATAGATCGAAGCGGTTCTAGTGAAGAGATCACAAAAGAATCGTGTTTGTGCCATTCCCCAGCCTAAGATGAAGTATTTATGCGTAGGTGATAATGGTGTGAATAGAGGTCTTGATAGAACGCTAAATACTAGTGGTAAACTTGAACATGTGAGTACTAAAAATTCTGGCCGTTTTGGAAAACTAATTCCAGTACGTCGTAGATCAAATATGTTGAGTACTCCATGAGCGGTCAAACATTCTGGAAATAAAGAATGGTAATAAGTAAAAACCATTTTATCATTTGGCATATAAGTTAAAAAGCAAATGCACACACGTATTATACAATGATTTACAATACTGAATACATTACTCTTGGAGTATTTCGTTGAATTTGATATATTTAGAAAAATGCAAATAAATAAAGTAGAATCTGAGAAAGGATGCCATTTTATCAAATTATTTACACAAATATGTGAATGCAGACAAGCGGAAATCAGGTATTTATTACCTCAGGGCATTTACTATATATGATTGTTCAGACTCATAAATTATTAATATAACTTATATGTTTTCTGGAAGTTTTTGTGATCATAAGTTATAACTATATAAATAACCTTGTCTCTATTGTTAACTACTCCAATATCAAGACTTCCAGATTGATGAAAATCTGGAAGTAAGCTGGTGAGCTAACTTTAGAGTTATAAGCTGTAATAACTTTGTAATATGGAAAATATTTTTCACTGACGAACTTATTCTCTTAGTTAAAAAGCTGTAACAATTATTCCATTATACATTTATAATTTCAATAAATATAAAAACTATACTTAGAATTTTTTTCAGTTATGACTAGAAGCGAGAACCGGAATGTGCAATTTACAATTAAATTCACATAAGCCACTGAGTACAATAAATGAGAAATGTTATACATTAATTAGAAATGCTAGTAAAATAACATCATTATCGCGGCAATCCGTTTAGGATGTACATACACCAAAAAAGATTGATCACTTGACTACCTTAACATTAGCAACAGGAGAATCTAAACAACTCTTAAGAATGAATGAAATATGTAGTAGTGTGGTGTGTGCTACTGACGTCGACAGATATTAGTAGTATGTATCATCCATCGTAAGTGAAATATTTGGCGGTAGAAAGTTGAGAAAATCAAAGAGAAGAGGACGGGAACAGAGAGTGATTAGTATAGAAACTAAACAACAACACAGTCTGAGACAAATAATGAATATTTTGTAAATGATATATTTACTGTATGATTCTCAGATTTTACCAAGATATTCTGTCGGATTGTATTAACACACGTTTAGTTATCCTCAGTGGTGTTCTCGTTCACCACAATAGTATTATCAAGTCAAGTATCTTGAAAACTCAATATACTGATTGACTTTTATCATCAGTTTAGTTTAAGCTTAAGTAAAAATTAGTATAAATATTTCAAGTAGTACAAAGTAGATATTGAAACTTATAAACAACTAATTTTTCCCCCCAAAAAAAGTAGATTAAATTCATCTTCTTGTGTAGAATGGTTTCATTTTATCTCATTTTATCATTTTTCAATTCATTGAATTGGATCATTTATCGGGAAATGATAAACCCTATAAGATTCAAACATGTATCATTCAGCTTGATTATATGAGATGTACCTAGTGAACTATTCGGGTTGAAAATGATTTGTTATTAAACTGAAATATTTACAATTGACTGATCCATAAGTAATGGCCACTGTGATACTTTTCGAGTTTCTTATTGTTGATGGAGTCTTATAGATCAAGTTACAATCAGTGTGGAGAAGATTTGTAGCTCATGTGGATGATTTTGATGGAGTTTTGTTCTCTGAGCTGGATATTTTGGTCGTGGAGCTTCCATCGTTTTTGTGAACGACATCAGATCTGAATTTTGTGCTTGAAATCAGTGTAAACTACTTTCAAATATAACAAGACTATAAAGACTTTCCATAAAAAAATTCAAGGAATTCTAGAAGATTTAATTTTAATTCGATTTTTATTTTTCAAGTAGACTTTTAATTAATAGGAATTACAACAGGTCTGATAAAATTCTACTTAGATTGCTTTTCTGTGCACGTCTGTGTGGTTGTTTAAAAAATAGTTGTGTCATACAGACAGTTTTATACATTGTCATTTACCTATTCATATTTAGTTTTTCCTCAAGTTAAGGTCGTTATACTTTGATTTGATAATCATTACCAAAACTGAATAATCCATAACCTTCTTCTTAGAATAGTATTACTGAAAAGAGTTTTGATTAAACATAGAGAAGGCAGTTGCAGAAATCAATAATTGTATTTATTTATGCGCAACAATACTATTGACTTCACAATTGTAACTTCACGATAAAGATATAATAAAGTCTATAAGTTTCACTTAAATAGATTCAGTGACGAATCTTTTAGACAGTTTAAGCTTAAATAGTGAAATATGCTATGGTATTATTTCAGTATGTCAAGTAAGCCTAACATTAGTATCCAATCTTACAATATAAACTTCTGAATTTTGATTGGAGAAGTCGACAATGCAGAAATCTTGTGTTCGATCTCATGAAAGTTATAGTTACCTTCCAGTTAGGAAGTTTCAAAATGAATGAAGCATTTATCTAGTGTTCCTTTTTAGTTCTACAATTAATGTTAGTTACTAATACCAGCTAATTTTGAATTAATGAAACGTCCACAAATAGCTTCATGAAAATTAGATTTTTACTAGACATTAGTTAATCACAGCGGATGCATTTCTTCATAATTAATGCAACATAAAACTCAACCTTGTTTTAATATTGTTATTATTATCCACATGAGTGTCGTATTGCTACCATAATTATTATTGTTACCAACCTTGTAAATACATAGAGAATTAGTATCATTCTATACACTAAGTAATCTTCGACCGAATATTTGATCTAATATGTACTTTACATTATTATTTCTCTCACTGCATACTACTTATATTTGTTTTGATTAGTAACCTCACAATTTTAACTGACTTATAAATCTACATACTTGTCATTTGCATTGTACTTAATGCTTACTTAAAATCCTCAATTCATTATACTGTAGTATTGCATAAGATATATTTCCTTTAAAGTCGGCTGTTCCCTTAAAATGCAGATTTAAAACTGGAGAACTTAATGAGAAGAATATTTTTGTTTACATATTCATTGGTTTACCTTAATAAAATGAATTAATTTTTAATGTAATTCATGCAATTATAATGAAATGGTGAAGAATTGATTCAACAGAATAAAATATCAGAAGGGGTTTAGTGGATAGCATAGTAATTTCAATAGTTGAGATCATGAGTCAGTTGAAGTTAGACCGCCATGGAAAAACTGGGAGCACTGGACGGCCATTTCGTCTTATTGTGGGATTCTTCGGCGGTGTGCGTCTACGATTCGAACACAGGACCTATCAGTCTCGCGCGCGAACGCATAACCTCGAGACCAGTGAGTCGATCGGCATCCAATGGTGTTAATGTTTAACTTCAACTAATCCACGAAATTGAGTGACACATTCTGGTTTTCATTAGAAACGAAACTACATTTCTAATAAGGTTACTTTTATGTTTCTACAATCACTTAACAATCTTATTATTAGGTAAAGTTGTTTCGAAACGTCATGTATTTTTTTAAACAAAATATATTAACTATATATTGAATGAACTTAAAAATGTGAAAAACATTAACACTTCCCAATAAATATATTTTTGTTATGTCCCAATAAGGTGAAAAATCATATTTCTGATGTTTCGTGACTTCATTTAAGCCACTTCTTCAGAGTAAGTAAATAACCGAAGTTAAATTAACTCAAGTTTAAATAGTACTTTCAAATAGTAATCTGAAGAAGTCGCTAACATTAGGTCACGAAACAACAAAAATACGAATTTTCTACTCATTGGGATATAAGTAAACATATATTTTTTATTAACTTTCTACCCAATGCTTAATATATTTGAAACTATTAATTTCAACCTTGGTATTGATACCTATTATAAAAATTCAATTGACCTTTTTTTGAGAATTGGATAAATTTAGATAGTGTAAAAGATAAAATTTATGCTACATAATTATAGTTTTAAGCTTTAACTTATGAAGAAATATATTTGTTTTTATGATACATAGGAACTTGGTATTTCACAATTCCTGAGTGCGTTGGAATCAGATAACTGTCATGTAAAGTTGTTTGGAATCGAATTATTAAGAAGAGAATTATAGATAACTGATATTTTTCAATAATTTTCACCGCCAACACACACTCAACCAAACTCAATATAGGACATGATGGAAATGTACATTCGATTGAGTTGCTATCATAGACGTTAAATGTAACTAACGGTTTATTGAGTGACCTAGAAAAGAGATTTATCTTCTTCAATCGAATATTCCTTGAAATATTTCTGATAATTGGCCTGAAATTAAAACAAACTCATTGTTTATATTATGTTTGTTTGAATTTAGTATTTTTATACAAGATTTCAAGGATTTATCTTCATAAGTTCAATTTTCCTTGGAAAGAAAATGCTATTTGAATCAATTGTTTACATAAATCAAAATGAAAATACACTGAGTTTTCTTAGCATACCATTATCTTGTAAAAATGTGCCTTATTACATATTCGATTGATTTGTAGATTTCAGGAGTAATAACATACTTCTTCATTTATTTTTTATCTAGTGAATATAATTCATTTGTGATAGATACATTTGTTAACATTTTGAGAAACAATATTCCATATCATATGATCCATTCAGGTGATTTTCTGTCATTTAACTAGGCTTACAAATAAATCACTAAAAGTACAATAGGTGATTACAGTAATTATCATTTCACAAAGTTCTCTTTGAAAAGGTTTCTTCATTTTAAATGAATGTTAAGTTGCATACTTTGATCATAAAGTGAAATGATCAAATACTCAACTTTGTGATCTGTTTTGATATTTATTAAGACTAATTTATAATAGAGATACATTTCATCAAATACTTAAACAATAGAGAGAAATAAATGGGAAACATCGACGTGTCGTGAATGTGAACACGAGTGGGGACAATCAAATGTATTTAAATTAAAAAAAACTGTCTCAAACTTGATTGTTCCTTCTGAAAATTTTTCTTTCATTCTCTGTTCTTGTTTTTCTTTCCTTAGATCTTCTTAATCTTCTACCACCAGATATTTCACTTTCGATTGATGATACATACTACTTATATCTGTCGACATCAGTAACACACAGCACAGACAGATTAGTTAGCTTTTTTTGTCATTGTAAGATCATTAGTTGGGTAAAGTTATGGTCTCTGGAGAGTTAGATTAAAAATTTTCTTATTATCATTCCAATACATAGTTGGAATATATTAATTCTTATTTTTCAATCTCATTTCTTTTTTAAATTCACTTGGCGTTGTTTTGCTTATATATTTCGATTGTTATTTAGGACTGCAATTGATCAGTCTCATGTTGGCATATGTGCATCCTGTGCGGATTGCCTCGATATAACCTTAAGTCACAAGCTTTTTAAGTAAAAATGAATGATGGCTAGCAGTGGAATCCGGGACGCACGTTTCATCCAGCTGACGAGTCCCAAATAGGACAAAACACGCGTCTTGGATTCCACTGCTAGCCACCATCCATCTTTTCATTTCTTTTTTGTCTATAATATACTTTCATGTGTAGTTAGCTTGAATATAATTACTATCTTAGTGATTTAACTGAATCTCAATTATTCTATGCTTTACTTCATAGCATTTCGATATGAAACTCAACTAATATCTGTTATATCATATAAACTTACTTACTTACTTACTTACGCCTGTTACTCCTCGTGAAGGAGCATAGGCCACTCACCAGCATTCTCCATCCAACCCTGTCCTGGGCAATCCTTTCTAGCTCCGTCCAGTTGTAATTCATCCTTTTCATATCTGCTTCTATAATCCGACGCAATGTGTTCTTTGGCCTTCCTCTTTTTCGCCTCCCTTCAGGGTTCCAAGTTAGGGCTTGCCTCGTGATGCAGTTTGACGGTTTGCGTAATGTATGTCCTATCCATTTCCATCGTCTTTTCCTAATTTCTTCTTCAGCTGGAAGTTGGTTTGTTCTCTCCCACAGAAGGCTATTGCTGATGGTATCCGGCCAGTGGATGTTGAGTATCTTGCGTAGGCAGCTATTTATAAATACTTGTACCTTCTTGATGGTGGTTGTTGTAGTTCTCCAAGTTTCAGCTCCATATAGTAGAACTGCCTTGACGTTCGTATTGAAGATTCTCACTTTGATATTGGTTGAAAGTTGTTTTGAGTTCCATATGTTCTTCAATTGTAGGAATGCGACCCTTGCTTTGCCGATCCTCGCCTTTACGTCTGCATCTGAACCTCCTTGTTCATCGATGATGCTTCCTAAGTATGTGAAGGACTCTACATCTTCCAGAGTTTCGCCATCAAGAGTGATTGGATTGCTGTTTTTCGCTTTGAATTTGAGGACCTTGGTTTTCCCTTTGTGTATGCTGAGGCCTACTGATGCAGAGACTGCTGCTACACTGGCTGTCTTCATCTGCATCTGTTCGTGTGTACGTGATAGGAGGGCTAGGTCGTCTGCGAAGTCCAAATCATTATTGAATGACAATAAACGAATTTGTTAAAAATCACTTTATAATTACTTATTAAATAATAAAAGTACTTACTTATAATTCCAAATATACTCATTGTTACCAAAAAGATACTTGCAATCCATGATGTAATTTTACTACCAGAACATGCATACAGTTGAAAATCTGGTTCAGATAATTCACTACGAACACATGCAAATTCTGAATGTATCGTTGTATGATCATGATGATGAATGGATAATGTTGTCAATGTACTAAGTGTATCTAACAAGTTTGATGTAACAATATTATAATATTTTTCAGTTGTTAATATATAAGTATCATTTATATGGATAGATGATTCTGTTAATGATTGATTAAATGTACCATTAGTTATAAGATCAGTTGTTGATGAAATTGAATATTCAGTAGATTGCATTTTTACTGAAGTAAAGAATTATTCATCAGAATTCATGTTATGATGATCAATATCTTATCCAATGTTATTTAGTCTGTTTAATGTTGACTTTTAAAATGAAGCCTTTAATAATATAAACACAATAGATAATAAACTAAAATGATCCTAGTGAAAAGGAATTGAGATAGTGAACTTTGATTAATCTAGTTTAGAAATATTAAAGTATTTGCCAAAATAATTTTTGCTATGTTAAATAAAGGTGTGTTACATTGTATGTCCGTCATAAAAAGCACCTATATGAGGAAAAAGTGCCCAAATGAATACATAAATGTGTTTGTATGTTTATCTATATACTGAATACATACAGAGTACTTTATACACTTGAATAGTTTACGCACACACACACACACACCTATCTCGTTCCCAATAGAAGTATACAACTATGTGTAGGTGTTCTGTGTTATCTTAATATAAACATTTAGATTTAACTGATTTACGAAATACTAGACTAATTCTATTTTTTAATTAAATTGCTGTATTTTATATTAAATTATTTCAGTTTCATAAAACCTATGAATAACAATTTACAAATGCTTGAAAGACGTGAAGTTTTTTATTAGAATAGTAATAATTAATAGATTACTCGAAGATCATTTCTGAATTTATCTTTATCTTATTTACTTACTTACTTACTTACGCCTGTTACTCCGAATGGAGCATAGGCCGTCGACAAGCATTCTTCAACCCACTCTGTCGTGGGCCTTTTTTTCTAGTTCTATCCAATTCTTGTTCATTTTTCACGTCTATCTCTATTTCCTGGCGTAATTTGTTCTTTGGTCTTCCTCTTTTCCTCCCAGAGTCCCTCCGAGGGCTACTGCCGATCCGCAGCCTGGACAAAGGAGGAGGAGTGGGCATGGGGTTAGCGTCCCCATCCCGTAGAAAACTAACTAAAAAAAACGCTAACCAGAGAAATTATTCAAACCTCTTAAACTCTGCCCTGGGAGTTAGAAGGTCTTCATTTAGAAGAGTTATGACGCCTCATGATGGAAGCTGAGTTCCTTCGGAAGTTACGAGGCCGATGCCTCTTCTGACAACCAGAGCAACCATTTATTTAGACACATGGAATACTCGTACAATGTGGGAGACCAAAAGAGTTTTCCAAACTGGTGCAGAAATGAGGAGATACAACCTGGAGGTGCTTGGGATCAGTGAAACTCATTGGATGAAAGTTGGACATCTTTATCTTAGCGACAGTTTATTTATATTTTCAAATTCCATTTCAAGCAAGTTTTATTTTAATGCAATGTCTTCATAGGAACTGATCTTTTGAATATGACTAGACCTAAAATACATGACAAACTTATTCATATCGTAAAGCAAAGCTTGTTCTTTTATCGAAATATCCATTTACATCGATTTGGAAAAGTTCAGTTTCACAGTTCACAGAAAATATCCTTAGATGAATGGTCAATTGGCTCAACATAATGTTAAAGTAAAGTTTGTTCAATAATTCCTATAGCATGATATTGTTGTGATCATTCCAACAGAAAAAGCAGTTCAACAGCTAAATAGATATATCCTCTACTATGAAGAGTGATATCAAAAAAATAGTCGATTAACTAGATAAAACATTCAATTCTTGAAGTTATTCTTCTAATATGGACATGAGAAACATATGCACTGATCTGCTTAAAAGACATATATATGTCATTTTGGGTTATTGATTTTACAGCAAAGAGATAACAGAATATTGTGATCATGACAATAAAATATTTGCCAGTAAGAAGTGTATAGTCAAGTAATTATCAGCTTTACATTGTTATGAACTATACAATATGTGTAAAAACATGGGAATCATTGATAAATACCAAATAGTTATATGAACTTTAATGCATAAAATATTTTCTAAAGTCAAAATCAGCAAGAATACACAGTCGTAGAAAATAAGTGAAGTGAGAAGCTTTAATAACTATTTAACTATCTCTTTCTTGAAAATCAACATTTCTCTGATATTCCGAAAATGTGTCTGATGAATTTCTTGAAAAAAATGCATGGAATCGCTAACTGGTAATTGAAACAAAATGTGATTATCGTCTTAATAACTTGAAAAATATTTACATCATGAAGTGTGATTATCAGGAAATTGACTGAAAACAGGTCAGATACAGATATATGTGTTTAGTCTTGGTCTGGAACATGTTCATCTAATAAGTCAGTCATATTGTGGTGTGGGTTACTTATATCCACACAAATAGTATATAACGGTGGTTAGGCTAAGAATGTATTTCAGTAGAATATCGATGAGGAAAAAACGGCAACGGGACGCAATTGGTATAAAAATGCATGAACAATGAAATGTGAGATGATGGATTGATGTTTGCAACAGGAACAGTCAAGTTTGAGATGATGGATTGATATTTTGCAAATTAACTATTTACTATATGGTTCTCAGATTTTAGTGAAATGCTCTGTATTTTCTAGACAAATACATTCGATTGTCCCAACTCGTGTTCTTGTTCAATACAGAATCATAAATCTGATTTAAAAGCATTGTGTTGTTTGTTTTTGCATTTAAACATAGCAGTTGTTAAAACAAACAAACAAAAAATAGGAAATTTCAACCGCCTTATAAAAAGGAATTAACTAGATGAACCAAATGTATTATGTAATCAAAAATCAAATGTAAACAATCAATTTTATTACTATCTATCAGTTTGTTTGAAGATTGACATATTGTTTGGTTAACAGTCAAATGATTTATATTCTCATTAATATTTGTATCAATCAATTTAGTAATTTATTGGATTCAAACTAATGCATAATTAGAAAAAACACTTCAGCAAGAAGGTACTTTGTATTTAATAGATTTGTTTAAGATAATACTAACAATTTTATTATTTTCAAGTGGAAATGGATGGTGGTTAACAGTGGAATAAAATATGCACATTTCGTCTTATTTAGAACTCATCAGCTGGAATGCTTGTGATTTAGGACAATATCAAGACAATCCGAACAGGATGCACTTATGTCAATAAGACACTGATCAATTGCAGTCCTAAACATCAGTGAGAATATTCAAACAACCAGTACAAAATTTTATTATCTAACGAAAATCTAAAATTTAAACATCTTACAACCGTAGTTAAATATTGTTTTTCTTTTAAATAACAGGTTGAAGTTTCTACCAATATTGGTGTGACTATGTATGATTTATTCAACTTCACTAATATAGACTATTCACTGAGTAGCAGTAACTAACAATCAAGAAGTATAGACACTATTACCGCTAAGTTCATGACAATTCAATCAAATAGCATAATGCACTGACGAGTATGAATTGAAGCCAACTGAACAATAAAAAAACAGATTGATGTAGTTTTTGGTTAATGATAAACAATGTCTTCATACAGATTCTTTCAACAGATATTTGATGGTATTTCAAATAAATAATGGAAATTTTTCATCCGTTCAGCTTACTGAGAGTAATAATTCAGTGTAGGAAAACGCTACGGGAATGACCTTGAAAAACAGTGTAAAGAACGCTGTTTACACATTTAGTCTTTGTCCTGAAAGGGGAAAAATAAGTGACTTTTATAACTGTCAGCATCTCGTTATAATATTTTATAAGGGTATTATGTTGTCTACAAGTAAACAGACGTTTTTAGCTAAATGTTTCGTAAACTCAGGAGTATATTTACCAACTCATACTGTATTAGGTGTGAAGTATCAATTCATATGATACCGGTAAACACGAAAGAATTTTTTCTGTTGTGTGACAATATGAAGCAAAATCTGTTACATATTCATAGCTATGCATCATTAGCCGGGTATCTATCATTAGAGGCTGTGTGACATATTAATTTTCTAAGACAGTAATAAACTTTATAATCTCAATTTAAAATGTCTCTTAGTACACATATTACGTGTTCTCATATAAGGCTATGTTTATTTATTTTCTGCCACGGAACACCTATAGGTAACTGCTAACTTATCTTTGGCTAGCGGAACAAACTCTGCTGATTAGTTCTGCAAGATGAAAATACGAATATACTAACAACAGTATTTATAGTCAAGCTAAATAGTAATAAGATAGAATTTCTATTGATTCTTCAATAAAATGGCGGAAAAGTCTATAGGGTACAGCCGTGACCAGACTATGTGAGAGTACAATGAGAACAGGTTAAAACATTAGATCAGTCAGTGAAGTCGTTGGATATTGGTCTACACAAAGAACTGTCAAAATATGGACTACTCTCTTGAAAGTAAATAAAACCTAGAATTTTCCCGATAGCTTTCAGACTTGTAAAGTCAGATTATAACAGAAATTAATATCCTAAATGTTGATGGCATACCATGATAAGCAGTAAATTTTTTAAAAAAGCAAGGGTAGACATGGTTGATATTAGATTTTATAAATCCAAAAATGTCTTTCCTTCATTATCAACGTAATTGAGAAGTCTAGCTACTTTTTATGAACTTACATTTTTCACAAAGCTTCAAAAATAATGAAAACGGTGAGTCAAAATAAAGAGGTGGGTGATAGTAAAATTGAATGTCAACTATTTGTTAGTTAGAACATAGTTTAAAGATTCATTATCAACACAAAGTTCTGGAGTTTATTGAGTTTCATCGAAACCATGGACAAATAAATGTCAGATCACCATCAAAAACTTGGAAGCATTGGACATTCATGCAGAAACATGGATTGATTGAAGTTAGACATTAACACCGTCGGCTGCTATCTCACTGGTTTAGAAGTTAAGCATTAGCCTGCGAGACCTAAGGTCACGAGTTTGATTGCCGCGTGCGGAGTCATGAATGATCACTACTGATCAGTCTCACACCAGTACGAAACCACCGTCCAGTGCTTACAAGCTTTAAATGGTGGTCTAACATTGATCGATCAATGATTTCAATGATAAACGTTTTATTTTGCCGTACTGACAATGAATAAAGCATTGGTTGAGTTTAGAAGAGCGCTTAAAAATGTCGAAAACACAAAATCTTATTTCAGATTAATC